TTGCACGGAGGGTTCCATATATATGCTATAAAAAAGCAAAACAAATCACATTAGTTGTATAGGAGCTACGCTTAAATAAATATTTATTTTATTCTGTTTATATTATTTGTTGAAATACACAATCTGTGAAAATTTCAACTATCTAGCGTTACTGTTCATTATATACAGCCTGGTGTAATGTCTTAATAATATGGACTAGTTTTTACCCTTTGGGTATGGTACCCTAAAATAAAGTCTTTGGAAAGTCCATCTATTACGGCACACCTTAAGGAGTCAATAAAATAAGACAAGGGGATAGGACAAATTTTTTGACGTCACATTTCAAAATTTGGATTACTTAAACAGACTTATAAACAAGGAATTGGTTGAATTTAAATGTAAATAAGACTCATTTTAGAAGCGCTGTTTTAGAATTGAGCTATATATACCACCGTAACATTGCCTTTTTCCATCGCTGTTATAGAGCTTAGGGCGTGGACTGTACATTTATTTTATCATTTATTTATTTAATTTATTTAATCAGACATTTATTTAATCAGAAATAAATTAGACCAGAAAAATATATTATTTAAAAAATACGTACAAAAACACGACACAATAAATATTCTCTGGGCCGGAATCTCCTATGGTCTAATAATAAAAAAAAAAACTGAATTAAGCCTTGGCTACTAAATAAAATTTCGCTACGTAACATGACGAGCAGAAAAGTTTTGTATTGCAACACAAGTTTTCAATATTATAAGTCTTGGCATTGAATTTCACTCAAGCCACGTTTTTTAATGACTCGCAAAAATATTTAATAGATTATGTATTGTTAAAAATATATAATTGCATACTACAACTAGGAAATATGATGAATTATTCAAATAGATTGCATTGTAACATTCCTAGGTCGAAAACGGAATTGTCAATTCCCAATTTTGAGTTTGGTATTCAAATTCAATATTAAGCAGTTTAAACATAAACATTGAATTGGTGTTTTAATAAGTTTTATAGTATTGTATGATGGAAAAGTTCATTTTCTACACTGTCCTAACCGGAACAGAGAACCTCGACAGTATAAAATTACAAAAATTCACAAGACCCGCAACGAAAAACAGTTTTACTGTCGCAAAAAGTTATTTAATAAGCCAGTTATACAATCGTTTATGAAGTTGTCATTGCAAGTTGAAAGCGGCATGCGGCATTACCAATACAATTATTCAAATTTAGAATGACTATTAGAACTTATAGTTGTTATTAAAACTTACTGGAATAGTTTGTTAATTCAGTAGTTATGAGACCTTACTACGGGAGCAGCTTACCAATTACTTTGTTATATGTTGATAATAATTTGGAAAAACGTATCGAAAATTATAACTCCGTGCTTTATTTGTGTATTATGTGACTTATGTTGCTGTTTGTTTATGTATTCATTAATTTATAATAAAGTAGGAAGGTGCCCCCATTAGTTTAGTACTGAATGAAACGACTTGGTTTAGATTCAGTTTCACTACATTTTACGACAGAAGAACTGCTTTGCTAGGTTTACATATTTTTTTACATATATCATTTTGACAGGATAACTACTTTCAATGTTTTATCAATTATTGCGTAGTGAATCCTAAAAAAAAAATTTCCCAGAACCCTAATGAACTTTAGGAATTGTTGCTCTTACATAAAATAGACATACATCGATTAATATTGCTAGAACTTACCAGCTAATAGAAACACCTTTTTGCCGTAATCCTTCTCTAAATGCAAAAAGTATGTGGGATATAATCCCCTGTCCATGCCTTTACGGTCCCTAGCTATCCTGCATTTGTATAGCGTGCCATGTTTAGCTGGGGTCACTACGAAGGTTTCCACTGCGCCTTCTACAGAACCTTCGATTTCTGCTACCTACGTAGACAAGGAAATGGATCGTTAAAACACTTTTATACATACTTTTATACAAGATCACAACAAAGTCTTATAAAGGTTCCTAAGGTATACCTTTATGAGGAATATTCAGTACAATATAAATCAGAGTTTAACATTGTCCATAGTCAAGGTCCACAGTTACAATATACACATAAAATTCGGTCTCTGTAGACCCGTTTGCGAGCTTCTCTATCTTTAATTTGGGATCAAATCAGGAATATTTAACAGTTTTCTATTTTCCATCAGCATAAGGTTGCTCAATGATCTAATAAATATTACGTACCTTTTTGAAAGTACTGTTAAACATTTTCAACATGGGATTGTCGATTCATGCTTTTAATTGGGACACTTCCCATTTAAGTAGGACACACACCAATAATGTCTAAGAATCGTACTAAGTCTCAATATGTATTTTAGACAATATGAAGTTACATTATGAAACTAAAGCCACAACGCACTAACCTGACTAGGTGACACGTCACGCTTCACCGTTCGTCCTTGCATGGGTGCGACCGCTGCATCTGCGCACACGTCGTCAGTACTGACATCCCGTCCCATGCTACTAACTGGGACGCTTTCCTCTTCTTCTTCCCCACTACCAGATCCATCGCCGACTGTTAATACTTCTATCTGATTACCTAGATCTGTGGATGAGCAATAAATAATAGTTCAACAGATCATAAACAGTCTATTTATGTACCCACTGCTGGGTCATAACCATTCTGAATCGTATACGAAAAGGGGACATTTATTATCCAAACTACACAGTGCAGATTGGTAGGTGGAAAAGACTGGAAAGCTGGTAGAGGGAGTTACTATATTTTATAGCTTTTTTTTAAATTTTATGACCAACCTTTTTGAGAATGAGAAAGTTGTTTAATCTACGCGCCTAGATAAAGAAAGGCGATAGCCATTGCCTCGATTAAACCGAGATTACGAGCATCTAAGGTCAACCTAACTCTGAAGCAGTCAGAGCGATCTTTAGAACGACGATTATAAATGGATAATTTACAGTAATATTGATAACCAGGATTTCTGGATATCAATATTACGGTAAAACCGATTTTAGGCTTTAGTCTGTCTATTCTAATATTATTAAGAGGAAAGATTTGACTGTTTGTTTGTTTGGTACGAATAGGCTCCGAAACTACTGGACCAATTTTAAAAAATCTTTCACTTATGGTAAGTTATATCATATGCGGTGGACATAGGCTAATTTATCCTGAAAAACTGCAAACAATATACCTTAGGATATACTGTGTTACGATACCAATCGATATCCTAATCCATAAGTAAATAATTTAAGCTATTTACACATGAGTAAATAATCGTACTAATATTAAGAAAGCGAAAGTTTGTATGTTTGAATGATTTGTTACTTGTTCAAGCAAAAACTACTAAACGGATTTTGATGGAATTTGGTATACGGATAATTGTAAGCCTGGACTGACATATAGGTTTGTTTTTATCCCGCTGAACAGTGTTAAATAAAAAGAAAGAAGCATAAGCAAATAGATTAATGAAAAATTTGAAATTTTATCGCCACGGCAACATTGACAAGACTATCGGTAAAACTTATTACAAAAAGTATGCGTCCGTGTTTACGAGCGAGTGTGAGAAGGGTGTCATGTGAAGGGTACAATGATTTGTTCGAGGGCAATTATTTTACATAAAATAGAAGCACTGATCGTGTGTAAAAGCTGACACTGAATGATTTTTGTATGTTTTTTAATTAATTCATGAAAAAACTGTAGTAACCTTAGTTAACGTTAAATTCTGATCTTTCTGTAGTACTATTTTTTAATTAATTGCACCGCAATGAAAAAACATTGCACTGCAAAAAATTGCAAACAACGAATTGTGTGGCCGGTCTTAAAATATCCACACTCTAGCTTGTATGAAACTTGTAATGTGAAATTTCTAGATTTACTTACAATCAAATTTGGAAACTTGAAATTTTGACATTTGTTATTAAAAATTGATTTCTTAAAAAGTTGTGTAGCATTTCAGAAGATAATGATGATAACAAATATGACATATATACTATTAATTCTTTTATATAAAGGTTTTGGTTGTATATAGGTTTACAGATATAATACATTTTGGTCAGCCATCCCTTGATCAGAACTTGCTTAAGTTCCTTTACTAAAATCGCAAAACCGACACACTAACTACTATCTCATCAAGCTCCAAAAAATACAGTTTAACAGGATTTCAGCCAATTTACAACAGAGAAGTAGTTATGTGAAACTCCATTGCATTAATTATGCTAGCAGTTCAGGGCATATACCAGCATAGCCAACAAGCAATAAGATTTCTAATGATTTATTAGTAGTAATGTTACCAATATTCACATTTGCAATGTTTGTACAAATATTTTGCGAATATGAAAACAAGAAAAATCTATTAGGACATAATTTTATTATGTTAATAAATTTATTAGGCAAAGCAACTTAATCTCAATTACATTCTCAGCCTTGACTTAAAGTGAACTTTATCATATGGTATTATTTATTGCTGCTTTTTCAAATATAGTCTAAGATTCAGATTTATACTAAATTATGCGTTCACTAGTATTAATTATGCGTTCAGATTCAGATTTATACTAAAGTACTATATCAATTATGCGTTCACAAGGCTATACTGGAAAATATTCTTAATGAAAAATGCTTAAAAAATCCACTTTGTCTCTGGTACTCTGAGATGGGATTCAATCCCACAACCTTTCCCAATCAGGAAATTGCTCTGTGAGATCATAAAACGTGATGGTTTGAATCCCATTTTAGAGTATCAACAACAAAGTGGATTTTTAAGCATTTTACATTGATTAATTGTGAAGTTAGGAAACAAAAAATACACTTGAGAGCAAATAAGTTGAATTACTTCTACTTGCCATGTTTTGTCATTATTAGTATAAAGACATAGCTTATGTTGTATGTTATGGATTGATTAAGTTACATGTTAACATTATATGCAATTTTGTAATATTATATAAGGCACTAAAATATAATTAACCCATCCGTCTCCAGGTGTGTGCATTGTTATCTCATTGTTTTAATTCCACATCTATGCACCTGGGGTCCGATGTGTATAATGCATCCAAAAGTCGTAATATGTATTTATGGCTTTGCAAGTTTTTATTTATGTTGTATGACCATTCATAGCACATCAATTTGACCTACTTTGATGTCAAATTGTCAATTTGACATCTAAATAGGTCATTGGGTTGTTTTATAAGTATATAAACATAATAAAGTAGACATGCTCTATAGAAGTAATAAATCAATTATATAAATAAAAATATATCAACTAATAAATACAACATACTCGGTAAAGCATTTACTCACCATCATAAGTTGATATTCTATTTGTTTGGAGTGGAATTACTTGATCTGGATTGACGGGTGACATGAGAAATTGCATCGGACCATCATAGCCTGTCGCAAAAAAATTAAAGGCGCATAACAAAATTAAAACGAAAAACAAAAAAAAAAAGATGTTGAGAAAATGAAGTACATATAAAAAGGGAGAAAACAATTTATATATCAGAGGAGACTTACCGTGGAGCTCCCTGGATCGACTTCCAGATATAGGGCGCTTAGCTGATCCTACCCTAAGATCGTTGGCTTGGACCATACCCGAATGTTGCCGCTTTTGTTTCATTTTCTGCTCCATTAATTGACGCTACAAGAAAGAACTTCACTTAGAATATCATATCCAATAGTTAAATATATTCAAGAATATATCAGCACGATTAGCACAGTAAAAATTTAAAAGGTCATTAGAAACTCACTTGCTGTTCTATCTTTTGGTCGCGACCATTGATTGAAGCCATTGTGACGGAAAGTCTGAATCTAACTCCGAGAAAACACTATAGCTTAGTACAGATATATGATAATTCACTATATTTCCATTTCAAAATTAAACACAAATATGTATGTAATTGGCATTTTGTAAGCTCATTTTTGTTTATAAATCATCTTGCCTACCGTTGCCCAGGAAAATAATGTTGCCCTCTTAATTATTATTTGGTCAGTGTTGCCAACTCGTTACGTAAAGTGTTTATATTGCTAGGGATATCCAAAAAAATTGTATATACTAAACAATTTTATTTTTACTTATACAAAAATAAAGGAAAAGCACAACTTACGTTTCTATTTTTTTAATATAAAAATAAAAGTTATCATTCTTCTTCACAGTAAGAATCTTCTGAAACCGATTTTTTTATGTAAGATCGTGCGTGGGATAATGGGAGATAGAAATATTCAGATTCCTAATTTATTTCGTAACGTAGAGACGTCGTTCGTCTTTCTAATCATCTTTAAATCTCTCCGCATTTCATTTTATTTGACATTACCTATAAAATCTAACTATGCAGAAAATAAATTAAGATCTAAATAGGTAGTGCTAGATTTGATGCTAGGTGATAAAAGCTAACCTTATGAAAATAGTGCCAGATCTAGTACCAAAATAGCTAAGTTGGCAATACTGTTTTTGAGTGACACGGTCAGTAGCAGAAACGTCCATTAAAATTGTCATTAATTTAAAGCGACATTACATACATAAATCTCTGAATGATGTTGTTCCAAAATTCTTCTTCTTCTTTTTTAATTCATGGCCTATTTGCATTTACACAATTCCGCCAATGTCACGTTTGTTCCAAAATTCAACATATATAAATCTGACATTGATTAGAGCACTAAGAAAGCACCTCCACTAGATGGCGACTCTAGCAAAAGTTGACTTTTGCAGAAAACGAATCGACCAAAAACAGTAATTTCCGTTCCTTTTAACTAATATATTAAAAAACTGAAATTAAAAAAGCTCGAAACTTAGATAACAATACAAATACGAAAAAGTACAAATAGAATATGAGTTGTTTATTGAGTTTTGAAAACTAATTTACTTTTAAACTTGAAAGAAAACCGGAAAAGTTGTCATGGAGAAATCAATAACGTACTGTAGCGACATCTAGCTTTTATTTCGGGAACTAATGTTTTTTTTAAATACTTCCTCATTTTAAATATTGTTTCCTCGAAAAACGAATATATAATATACAATATTTAACATTCAAGACGATATTATTGAATTTTGTATTAATGCCTGGATGCTACATCTTGTACTAATGTACATTAGTGCCTAATAACTATTCATTGCATTGTCATTATTTAATATTCGGATACATTTTTTGTACAGTAAATTATTTGCCCGCACGAATGAAATGAAATAAAACAGAAGGGACATTGAGATGAGTATTATTTTGCAGGTTTTTGACGATAGTTTGTACATTTAAAAAGTATTCTTTCAAAGTGTTATTACATACAAGTTATTTTGTTGTGAAATCAAAATGTGTGTCTACGTAGAATTCGAATTAATCGATATGTACATACCGATTGTTAAGCATACTGAGTATTAGATTCCTTTTTCTGAGATAGGACCATTGCTACTCTTTGCCTGAAAGTACAGATGTCATTTAGTAGTCTTTTAAGTCTGTGGCTAATTGTCAATAACAGTCATTTCATAAAAGATGGCTCCCAGCCGGAGTATCTTAGGATTTTTAAATCCGAAGACCATTAGCGCAGTTATTTCTAATACTGTATCAAAAACTTCCTGTAGGTTTATACACATAAATAGTAATTACTGTGAACATTACTTAGGCGCTGCCATTCTTTCTGGTGCCGGTCTTGGTCATAAAAATTTTAAGTGTAAGTTTTACATGCTTCTATTATTACATCATCTAAATAATTGTGTTAATTTCAACACCGTCTAAAAAAATAAAGTTATATTTAATCAATAAAATGATAAAAGTTAAATCAAAAACATTAATTACCTTACTTAAAAAATCATTAATCCTAACCTCAAAGTTTAATTTCTAGATGTCGCAACTCACAATTATCGGTATATTCACACGACGAACATCTTAAATGCAAGAGTTGATTACTATAAAGTTCTCGGTGTGTCTAAAAACGCGTCATCCAAAGATATCAAGAAAGCGTACTATCAGTTAGCAAAAAAATATCATCCTGATGCAAACCAGTCTGATCCAGAAGCTTCAAAGAAATTTCAAGAAGTTTCCGAAGCTTATGAGGTAAGCGACCGAGACAATTAAACTAAATTTACTAAAAGGGCTCAATTTCATGACTTTTTATCCAAATATTTTCTGAGTTTTTTCTTAGTTCAAAAACACTAAGATGTATGCAATAAGATTAATTGGTAAAAAAAAAATAATCATAATAAGTTTGATTAATTTTACATTCACAATGCTATGCTGGAAAATATTGTTAATGAGAAATGCTTAAGAAATCCACTTTGTCTCTGGTACTTTGAGATGGGACTGCAGAGTAGTATTATAGTGGGGATAAATTCATATTTAACTAGGTTTACATATATCATCTACCTATAATGCATGAATATAATTATTATTCAGATTATCTATTTCTGTTTCAATTAATAAAATTGTCTAAAATAATATTGTTACATTATTCCACAATTTAGAATCAGAAAAAGAAGTTAGTATATGTTTTGTTTCACTGCATAGTTTGCATTATTTCTTCCACTTAAAACAAAGTTTTTAAAAATATAGGAATAATTATCCTAAACAATAATGCTTAAAAATTCACCAGTGCATGAGATGGGGACCCAAAAACTTTTGCTATCCAGGTGACTGCTCTAACTATTGCACTATCTGAGACCTAGTAAGCCTGATGAATTTGCCAGCTATGTATGTTACTTTTAAATAAAATAAAATAAAATGTTCAGTAATTTTTTAAATATTTTTACAAATATATTAAACTTTTGATTTAGATGAAACAAAGTTTTTATTATTTATAGATCCTGTCAGATGAATCAAAGCGCAAACAGTATGACACTTACGGTACAACATCTGAGCAAATGGGAATGGGTGGTGGACCAACAGGTAGTGATGGTTTCACACACCAGTGGCAATACAAATCCACCATAGATCCAGAGGAACTCTTTCGTAAGATATTTGGTGATGCTGGATTCAAGAGTGATACTTTCAGTGATTTTGCTGAGAGCCAGTTTGGATTTGGTGCTGCCCAAGAGGTAAGTTTAACAATTCTATTTCTATTCTATCCTATTTTTGAAAATGTTTTTTCATTTTGGTTTATATTAAAGTCAAGTATTATAGTAATTTTTGAATCTATATTTTGGTTTGCTGCTTAAGTATTTCAAACTTATTTAACTTGTATCGATTAAACAATCAATTATCTCATAACTCCTTGGGCATATATATGTAAGATGAAAACAATGCAATAACCAATTTCACTAATGAACCAAATGATAAGTTAGAAATTACACACCAAGGAGGTTATGTTTATTAGCTCTACTTCTGTTATGTTACACCTTCTTTGTTACCTACCAATAACCAAATAAAAAAAATTCTTCGATGTTTAGGTAATAGTCAATCTCCGTTTCACGGAAGCAGCTCGTGGTGTGAACAAAGACATAAACTTAAATGTGGTAGACACTTGCCCTAAATGTCAAGGTTCACGGTGTGAACTTGGAACCAAAGCTATAAAATGCACATACTGCAATGGCACAGGCATGGAAACTTTCTCGAGAGGTGAGCAATATTACTTTGTATTAAATATTTTGTTAATCTGCAATGACAAAATACATTAAAAACAATAAAAATTTCCACATGATCTTATGGATATATTTTAAATTTACATTTTATTTTATTTGACTTTTGGTTTTTATAAAAAATAGAAATAAGTAATATTTCATTATAGGACCTTTTGTGATGCGTTCCACATGCCGACACTGTCATGGTACCAGGATGTTGATCAAGTTTCCATGTGGAGAGTGTGAGGGGAAAGGGCAGTCTGTATGTATCTGATTTATTCATATAGTCAGTTTTTTATTGTACTTGTACATTGAAAATAACAAAATTTGTACAATGAAAATAACAAAAGGCAAGTTTGACTCGATCAAGAGTCTTAAGAGACATTATTTAATACAGACACAAAAGGCAGAATTGATGCCTAAGTTATTCTCTACTAATAAAATAAGTTACTTATACTTTTTTCTGACAATACTTTTAGGTTCAACGCAAGAAAGTGACAGTTCCAGTACCTGCTGGGGTAGAAGATGGACAGACAGTGCGTATGTCTGTTGGAAATAATGAAGTGTTCATCACATTCAAAGTTGAACCTTCTTCATATTTCAAAAGAGATGGGCCAGATGTGCACACTGATTGCTCTGTGAGTTTAAGATAATATTTAATAAGATACAAGTAAAATATAAAAAATGTAGACACCTTAAAATCATAGAATCGCAAGATGCCTGATATAAAAATTTGAGTCATGTAGTATTAAATGCACACACGCTAACAAGTTTGAGAGCTTAGTTTTGTGAGGTAAAACACTAAAAGCTGAAAATAAAACTATTGATTCATTCCATGAGTACAATATGCAACATCAATAAATTCACTTTTACTCCTATTGGTGATTTGTGTTAGGTCTTATCTAACAAACAAAACAAAATAATTAATATTTTCATTCCACATCTTTAAAAATAGTCTTGCTTTTTGAAAATATAGCACCACTTGACACTGGCAAATAGTCTTCAGACAGACATTGTGACTTAATGTGACAAAAACTGAAGTAAAAAAAATAAAAAAAACGCCCAACGGCTGAAAAGAAAGCACACCGTTGATTAAAATTCGGAAAACAAAACGAAGTAAAAATATATCGCATACCCCATACACTTACCATACCCCTTAGCATATTAGTTTTTTGTTTTAAACTTACCGTTTAACCGTTTGTTTTAAACAAAAAACTAATATGCTAAGGGGCAAGGTTTATGTTTCAACCTAAATGAAGTGAAGATAAAAAATTTGAAAATCGAAAAATCTATGTAATAATTGTAATTTTATCAAGACCACTGCTTACCATTATAAAATATTAGGTATTTTTACTAAAATACCGTAGATATAACTCGATAAAAAAAATTATAAGAAAATGATTTCACATCTCTTTGCTATATAAAATAGTCATGAAGTGGCGAATAGGATAAACGCCGCGGTCCGCGATCGTTGTCGTTAAGCAACTTTCGCAAGGGTTGGTCACGGGATGGGTGACCAAAAAAATATTATCTCGAGCTACTTCGTGCTTCGGAAGGCACGTTAAGCCGTTGGTATCGGCTGCATTCGCAGTCGTTAGTACCCTCCAATCCGCATGGGGCCAGCGTGGGAGGTTCATGGCCCTTCCTTATGGATGGTTAAGAAGGATGTTCTTAACCATCCATAAGGAAGGCCTGAGCCCCTGCAGTGGGGACGTTAATGATGATGAAGGACGGGCTGATGATGATGATGATGATGATGGTGATGACGACGGTGATGATGATGATGACCAGAAAAGACAAATGACAAGACTTACATTAAAGTTTATATATATATTTTTTAAATTACAAAACTCCAAATTGACCATGGAATGAGGCCCATTCAGCCGAGTTGTATGAAAAATCCATGTGACTTAAATTTTATGTTAGAAAGGTAAACCTATCAACTCGAATGGAATGAAAGGTATTTTAGAATTTCTTGTAACAAAACGAACATCCGCCGGCAGCGCGCTTGTAGCCCCTCTGGTGTTGCAGGTGTCCATGGGCGACGGTAATCACTTACCATCAGGTGATCCGTCTGCTCATCTGCCCCCTATCCCATAAAAAAAATCCGCACATTACAATCTGCATGGTCAAAATTTGATGTAAACTGTTAGACATTTGTGAGGTATAGACAAAAGTTATATGACTGACATGTCATTGTCTTTGTTTCAGATATCAGTGTCACAGGCATTATTAGGTGGGACAGTCAGGATTCAAGGTTTATACGAAGATCACACATTGCAGGTAAACATAGCTTGCTTCATTATCTGTTTATTATTCTTAGGGTGGATTTGTATATATTTAATGAAAATTATATTATTTCTTATATGCAGATAATGCCGGGCACGTCATCTCATAGCACCATACGTTTGTCACGAAAAGGAATGAAGCGAGTGAGTCAACACGGCTATGGTGATCATTATGTCCACATAAAAATACAGGTTAGTAAATACTGATGACAGTCTAGGTCAGTGATCCATACTTTTTCTGACGATGGCGATGAAAAAAAAAAACAGTTTTATGCATATTTTATTAATAATAAATATTATGTTACCTTGTAATTTTTGATAACAACCAACCGTTTTTAGAGACGTTGACTGTAGACGTAACGAGATATGTTTGGTTTTAATATTGAGCCACAGTGAAAGTTAGTCTGTTTGCTACAGCTCTGCTCTCTCCGCTTGTAACGACATATTGCTTTTCACGGACTCCATTCATAATAGTCCGGTTATAACGACTGATTTTACGTTTTTACAAACCACTCGAAGTGAATATCGATATAAGCTATTTCCGCTCCGCGCACTTGCATGTGCATTGTGGACTGATGCGACTGTATATTTTATTGTAATACTTAATTTGCGGTTGACGAATTAGTGTGCTTACCAATCTGGCCAAGCGAAAAAGTTTATTGAAGAAAAAAGTGTTATATTGAATCGTTTACAAGCTGGCGAATCGAATGTACCTATTGCGAAAGAATGTAGTGTAAATTATCTTTCATTTGTCATTTATGTACATATTCAATCAATTTCTTTTCATTCTTACGTGTATGCACGATTGCGAAGGAATTTGATGTAAGCCATTTGATAATATTCACAACGACAAAAAATAAACTTGCATTATCTTTCATTAATGATTTTTATGCATATTCCATCCATTTCTAAGTTTGGGAAGTAAATAACAATATTTATTTAAATGTTTCTTTTGGTCTGTTGATCACCTGATATGAGTTAATAAATACATATACTATGATTGTGTCTATTAAAAAAGAAATTGATTGTTAATTTGATATGATTTCCGGATAGTTCGACGTAATTTCATTGATTGAAAAAATATATATATATAGACCCCATATGCTTAATGGAGTCCTAAGGCTCCGTTTGAGTGAAGTTTGTCTAGTTAAACGATTGAGTAGTGATTGGCAGGTTTACTCTGTGACCTTGAAAGTTAAGTCTTTTGAAAAGGCTGAACATCAGATGGGTGACCAAAAATTTGTCATTTCGATTGATTCCGTTGGAAGGCACTTTAAGCCTTTGGTCATGGCTGCAACTACAGTATTGCACCCACCAATCCGGAGTGGACGTGCGCGGTTCTTCTTATTTGATTCATAGGGAAAGTTTGTGGGGATTTTAATTGACTGATTATGAACAGTATGTTAGGTAAACTCAAATGTAACTCGCTCGATTCCTTTAAATAAAAATAAACTTAAACTCTTTGTTATAGGTTCCTAAATCGCTGAACGCCAAACAAAAAGCTCTGGTGTACGCTTACGCAGAACTAGAGGAAGACACTCCTGGGCAGATACAAGGAGTCTCGTACGATCGAAATGGTAAGAAAAATTAGAACGAACTATAACAAAATGGAACTAGTTATGCAAAGTCGAATCTACCTATATAAATGGTAATAATGACTTAAAAAACAATAACAATAGTGAACAAATAGATAAGGGCATAGATCAGATGATATTCACTTAATTTGATACTAGGTGCACCTATTCTTAATTTTTTAATACTCAATCCAAATACCTAGTCGATCTAGTATTAATTAGTAGTTTCACGTAATATTTATTAAATTATATATAAGTCAGCTTATGGACTTAAGTTCGAAATAACAACCAAAATGAAATTATATAAGAAAAAAACATCAAAATTCATTCATTCAGTTATCATCTATAAATAAAAAAGCTACTAAATATAAAGTGAATACAAAGTAATTGGCCAGACAAGATGCTGGTAGTTTATTCGGAACTTTTTTATTCACAAACAGATAGGACCTTATTAATTGGTTCTTACTAGTCGAAAATTTTTAAATGAACAAAAATAGAAATGGACAAATTTGATCATGATGATAAATAAGTATAGAGTCCAAAATCGTGTGATTTATAAATACTAAGTAGATCAAGTATTGATAAATTGGAATAGGCGCGGCCTAGTATTGTAAAATACGCGATACATAGAAACTATTCTGGCGTTATCACTATATGTTATATTTTATAGATCTCTTTATATAAATAGGAAGTTATGTTGTTGCTTTAAACATTGTTTGAAACATTTTTAATTAAAGTGGGTTATCGTAGTGTCCGTATCCTTGAGTGAAAGTGAAAATATACCTTATGTTAAAGAGATGTTAGTTGAGTTTCATTTAAAGTGTTTTTATCATACTTATTTACAACTACAACGTTTATGTTATTTAATTTAGTTTAATAAGACGTTTTACAGCAGTTTTCTGAGTAGTGAGCAAATAGTGAGTTATCGTAGGAATATTTTTGAAATTATAATGAGAATTTGGATGTAATAGGGAATCATTCATTTCCAAAACCTAAAATGTGTTTATTACATGTGCTTGTATTACCATCTATGCTGAGCTTTCCGTAATACATTTGTTTATTTATTTATTTATTAAAAATCATATTTATTTATAGTTTTAATAAATATGATTTTAAATAAATTCCTAAAATATATACAAAATTGCCGTCGCACAAGAATATCTAGAAACAATGTTATGAATGATACATAAATTGTAAGTATTAAAGGCAGAATATGTCATTCTGGTACTGGGAGTAAATTTATCCATTTTAATAGTTACAAGGTCCACTAGCGGCAGTTTGAATTAGTTATAGAAACTTTAGTTTCTTGAATGTTTTTATAATATATGATCTATGTATGTATGGAAGTTGAATGACAATTTAAATCAAGAATTAGTGTCTTTTATTTACGTACATATATACTAGACGTTTGCTTCGAGTTGGCCGTCAGCGACGATTACCTAATGCCGTCATAGACCAATTAATTAGTACCGTCAACAAAGAAATAATAATCGTATTTGTACACGGCTTGATTTTCCATCAGTCAAAGACGAGATGGGAGTTGATATTCTTTACGTAATGGTTATAAAAAATAGCTAAACAACTGTATAATCAATGATGACGGTATATTAGTGTTAATAGCAAGCGGCACGGACAGACGCACGAGGTGGCACTGCTAGCAGTACTCATTAGGATATACAATGACTGTGAGTAGACTGTGGTAGTTGTCAACTCTAAGCAAACAGCTAGTTTATTATTATATATATCTGTCACCAAAGTACCTTAATAATTCAGGAATATTTGTTGTTTGTGTTTTCTATGCTACGACAAGCTAGTCCAGGATTAGCATATAATTTATTGGATAAGCTGGTGTCATAGAATAATCATGAATCTGTTCAGAACACGGCCATTTAACGATATAAGCCCAATTTGTTTTGCAGAAAAATCGAAAAATACCGGTACTGAGAATATACACCGTTACAATCGAGATAACGAGGATACAGAAAATGACAGAGGCAAAGCGTGGAGCTTTATAGAAAGTCTCGCGGAAACTTATAGACATAATAAAACTTTTTTTCTGGCAGGTTTCTTTACATCGATTGTGTTATGTCTGTTAGCTATTATGAATGATCCTCAAAACAGGCAGGTGGAACGGTATACTAGAGAATGGGATAATAAGGAGATTCGAGACGTGGATAAACCTTTGGGCTATGAAAGAACCATTCAAAAGCAGAAGGATGAGAATCCAAAATTGTATGAAGTTTAGAGAGTTGGAATGTGATTTTTCATATTCATGAATTGTTAGTTTTGCATAGCAAAGTGAGTTGGCGTTTTCTCTATAGCGTGGATTGGACTCCGCATACGAATATGATCTCGCACGTGAAATTGACTCCGCGCGCGGAATTAGTTCACATGTGAGAAACGGGTTGCGGAGTTTTATTCATTTATTAAAGAAAACATTGGGACATGAAAGCGCATTTGAAATGAAGTATAGTATGTAGAATTTCTATAAAGACAGTGTCTATTTTATAATGTAAATATTGATCTATTTATATTTATGTATGGAAGTATTCTTGAATACAATTCTAAAAGTGAGTTTTGCATGTGTGATGATATTTAGCAAGGGATATAGTATGATGGTCACAATATTGTTCTGACATTGTAAATTATTTCATGAATACACAAAATTATAAAGTTGATTGGTTGTTTCATTTGCTGTCCCTTTCTTGCCATCATGCTATATACCATTGATCAATATTAGCCGTTTTAAAATGTCACCGATTAATTTTCTTCTGTTTCCGTTTTAGATGAAAAAATTTAACCACACACAGAATATTTTTAGTGAGTTTATTTTCATCAAATAAATTAATTGTAGAAATTTGAAGTAGGTAGATACTAAAATTCGTTAAGTAAACATAAATTATATCGTTAAAAAAGGTACATCGTTAAAAAATATTAATTACGATTTGATTATTATTAGAGGAGTAGATAATATAATTTACTAGCTTTTACCCCCCTACTTTTTCTCTTACATTTAGAGTTTAGGTAAAAAGAGTTTGTCCTTCTCTAGGGCTCAGATAAAAAAAAAATATTACTTTCTAGTCTTATGTCTGTAAAAGCGTAACAGATATAACATAATTACTTATTTTCGCATTTTTAATACTAGTATGAAAATCGAAGAACCTTTTAAATATTTTTCACATTGTAAGTAACTGTTGCAAAATTTAGTTAGGGTAGTTTATAAGTGAACATAAAAATACCTTAAAAAGGTTTTATTATTTTCCACAATTCACAGGTAAAAAAATATCAATTTCGGAGCCTCAGGATATGGTAGATGCTGTTAAAGAAGCTCTTAAGGAGAAGAAATCCAACGACGGTAACCCCTCCGAAACATCAGACGAAAACGTCTTAAAAGAGTCAAAAAGAAGCAAGGGGTAGAAATATAATAGAGTTAAACGGACCATAGTTCCAAAGTAATAAGATCTACTATCGAAGTAGAAAAAGTTACAGTTTAGACGCTCATTATTTGCTTCGACACGTATGTCTATGATTTAAAGTCTGGTATTTTTATTACATCATGGGAACTCATTTTTGAAGTATCACATCACTGCATTGAAATAAGATACTAGTTTTATTATGGAATAAAATATTGATTACGTATAAAACTGTGATACACATAACCAGTACAGATAGTTTCATTTAATATCAAATATATTTTTATGTTTGACACAAATTGTTTTCTTGGATCATCATTCGAATTTCACAACATTTCCGTGATTTATTTCCAAAAATATATATATATAAATTGTGCTGTAAATAGGCCGTTGATTAGTTTGTAGGAAAATAAAACGACAAATTAAATGTTTTTATCTTTTATTGTATAAACCTGAACCTTTATTACTATGCAGTGAAATATGGGTCTGATGCAAAACATATTACGAAAATCGGAAAAAAAACATACCTACGTCTTTTAATGAAAGCCAAAGTGATCTAGCCCATGGAGCCTGAGAACATACAGTATCGAAACCAGAAAGAATTGTAAACTGTAAATATAATAATGCAGCCTTACACGTAATAAAAAAAGTTTCTTTTTACATAGAATCAACTGGTAATCGAACTCTGGACCTTTGTCATAATTTATCTAAGTATTTCACGTTGTGGTCACAACATAAAGTTAATCTATGATTGTGGTTATATTATTACTTCGTTGGGGAAAATGGATGTGTTTTATTATTCTTCTGAGGAGAACAGTCTGTATTTCTCTGACATTACGTTCATAGTCGAGCTGCTGTGCCTGCGCAGTGTTGCGAGAGAGCAAGACAGTAGCGTCATCGCACCTTCCACGTAGAATCCATATATTATCCGAACGTAGTTTTCCACCTGTAATAATAAAAATGAAAAGAATTTAAAATACTAATTTTAAGGAAAACGCCGTCGAAATGGTCAGTAGTTTGAATAGAAAAAAAAAATTCCATTAATATCTATAACTCGTACGAATAACGTTACACATTTCGAATACTCTTATTATTTTATTAAAATGTGATTGTACCTATACCGTAAATGAGATAGTGTTAGTTTCTACTTCTGTTGCATCATAAATAATCGAAAAATACGTTTCTTTGGAGTAGTAGGTACTTGCTTTTCCGAGTTTCCGTACGAGTAATACGTCACGTGCAATAACAGTACACAAGTGTGCTTAATTTGTTTACTAACATTTCTATATGTATGGATATAATGCTTAGGAACTCGATGGCAAATTCAGCCTCCGATGCAGACGATCGCAAAGGGCGGCTATAGAATGTTTGAACAAAACATATGAGCTCCATCGTCCCTCGAAAGCCACGCTAAACCGTTGGTGCCGGTTGTATCTGCAGTCGTGAAATCCTATTAACTTTATATAGTCGTTAATTCCCATTGGGGCCGCGAAGTAGAACATGGCCTAGTCTTCCTATTTCATTCCATTCGGATTCCATCCTAGGGAAACTGTGGTGATGAATGAAACACGTGAAAAAAAATATCTAAGAATATGAGGCCCGGATTTCTACTAACTACTACTACTAACTACTAACTTGATATTGCGCCCATATATACTGTTATCGACGAAGAGGGCGACGAGGAATTGGTGTGGCACAGGTGTGAAAATAAATTTAATTTATAATCTTCACAACACTATTTATTACGAGGGTCAAACTGAAAGTTCTTAGAAAATCAAAAACTGATTACATTAGCCAGTTATTAGTTTTATTATATCTTTTCAAAATATTGTCCATTCACGTCAATACACCGCTGCATGCGATGGAACCACTGGGAAAAGCACTTTGCCCACTCGTCCTTAGGGGTCTCTTCAATGGCATCGCGATACGCAGCCACCGATTCTTCAGCATTCATAAACCGCTTTCCTTTAAGTTTTTCTTTAATTTTTGGAAATAAATAAAAATCACAAGGCGCGAGGTCGGGGCTATACGGCGGGTGACCCAGTAATTCAACGTTTGATGTCGCCAAATAGTCGATCGTTCGCTTGGCGGTGTGCGACGAGGCGTTGTCGTGGTGAAGGAGGATCCTACTGCGAGGTCGTTTCTCTCGAACTTTTTCCAAGACAAGTGGCAAACAATTGGTAGTGTACCATTCTGCAGAAACTGTTTTTTGATCCTCTAACACAATTGTTGCAAAATGACCTATCCTTCCAAAGAACGAGGCCACCATTTTTTTTCCCGCACTTCGATCTCTCTTCACTTTAGTTGGCAACTCCTCGAAAGGAAACACCCACTGAGCAGATTGTCTTTTGGTTTTAGGTTCATAACAGTAAATCCAGCTTTCGTCACCTCTTAGTTTGTCGAACACAGCATTTGAGTCACCTCCGTTAAATCTTTCAATCATTTTACGACACCAATCCACACGATGGAGTTTTTGAGCCTCAGTCAAATTATGAGGTATCCACCGGGCGCAAAGCTTCCTGACCGCTAAATGTTCGTGGAGGATTTTGTGCACTTGACTCATACCGATGCCTAAGCTTGTCCGAATCTGTTGATAGGTCACTCTTTTGTCAGTCTCTATCATACGCCGCACAACACAGATGTTATCTTCAGTCGTCGCCGTAGAAGGCCGTCCCTCACGTAAATCATCAGTGAGATTAGTGCGACCACGTTTAAACTCATTAAACCAGTTGTAAACAGTCGCACGAGATGGGGCTTCATCGTGAAAGGCCAATCGTAGTCTATCATAACTTTCTTGTTGACTTAAATGACATCGAAAGTCATAAAAAATCATTGCACGAAAATTTTCTCGTGTTAAATTCATGATGACGTGACACAGACAATTTTCAATTTGCCGCCAAATCGTAAAACAAATGACAAATGAATGAAATATATACTCAGTAATATTGGCAAAGAGTTATATTTTCAAATTTTAGAATTATTTTTTTATTATATTGTTTATAAGTGGCCAGTTCTAAGAACTTTCAGTTTGACCCTCGTATCCACAATAGCCAGGGTCCTCGCCAAAGCAGGTGTTAATCAATCATAAGACCATATGTCAATATCAAAACAAAATTAGGCAAATATCAAATATATATCAAAAAAACTATAAAAACATAGACAACGTATAAAAATAGGTCGGTCCAGCTGACAATCCTTAACATCCTCCCCTACTGTGACGAAACCACATCAAATCAATCTTGAGGGGATGATTCAGACGAATGAGCTTTGTCAAAGGCCCTCGGAGAGTGCTGCCCGCGGTGGACACGTCCGCCACCCGAATCATGCCATCGCGTCCCGAGAACGATGTTATCGACGAAGAGGGCGACGACGAATTGGTGTGGCACAGGTGTGAAAATAAATTTAATTTATAATCTTCTTAAAACTATTTATTATCCACAATAGCCAGGGTCCTCGCCAAAGCAGGTGTTAATCAATCATAAGACCATATGTCAATATGAAAACAAAATTAAACAAATATCAAATATATATAAAAAAAAACTATAAAAATAGGTCGGTCCGGCTGACGATCCTCAACCTATATCTATATATCCTCCTCCAATATGGCCGACCATATTTTAATCAAGCCTGTTGAATTTCAAAAGATATTTTTTTGAAGCTTATACGTTTTTTAACTGTATTATATGATGATTTTAGCGCCCTCTTGACACTAACTGCCCCCTGCAGATCCGGGCCTGTGAATGAACATTAAAAGAACACAATCTAATTCTGAAACCTTAACGCTGCATCCTCTGCAGAATGACACACCAATAACAAAATGAACGTTAGTGTCCTTAATTACTCACATGTTCCAGACCGCCTGTGGTTGTGAATTCCAATGGAAACATGATTATATCTAACGGTCTTCTGCCCCGCAACACGCCGAAGGATATTGCACCTACAGCGTAGTATATTAGGGTAAAAAGTGGCACGCACCGCCCTACGGTCAGCATTTTGAAGAGACACTGCGAAAAATTCTTTGATAACGTGACGAATATTACGCACTTATTTGGCGACAAAGTAATTTTTGTAGTGCCTATTACTACGAACGTGTTTTATGTGGAATAACTATAGCTAGTATTAATGCTTATATGTTATTTAATGTAATTTCTCTTGACTATATATACGAATGTACGAGATCGTGACAACAATATGTAAGAAGTTTCTATAGCTTGGTAGGTATTTCAGTACTAAGTAATAAGGGTAAGCATCACTCAGTATCCTGTACTGGGTATTCTGTAATGTATATATATTCTTTTCCTTTATTATCGAAAAAATAAACATAAGTATAAATAAAAACCTCGGAGGTTTGTTTACAACTCGTTTTTATTAAATCAAATACCTTAGTACTTCAACATACTGAAATCCCTACTAAGCTTTAGAAACTTCTTTACTGACTGATGTCTGTACACTATTCAATGTGAACTATACACTTCTGAATCACATATAAGTGATATATATTTTTGGTAATAGTATAATAAATTGGTGTTAACAATAATTTTATTTTACTCGGTTTGCTCCCATTTTATAAATAAAAAAGTTGAATTAAATTCATTCCATTTTGCGTTGAGTTTTCATATTAGGCAATATCTAAATATTTAGGTAATGAATGAGTCCTAAGTTTAATGAAAACGTGCATTAATCATATCATAGGCTAAATTGATGTTACTTTTAATTTCTACAAACTTACAATTATTTTATTACGCAGAATATTGTGATTATGTATCTTGATAATTTCCGAGTTATAATTGTGTCTGGAAGTTTCTGTAATGAAGAAACACAATTATGTAAATACATTTATTATGATTCTAATTTGCATATTTGTTTTTTGAATTAAATTTTAACATAGATAATTATTCTAGTGTAATTTTATTTAAATCGACACAAATAAATCAATTTATGCAGTGTGATTAATCACCGTACCCGTAAAACAGGATTAAAGCAAAGGGAAAACAAAAGCGGACACGTCAAAAACAATTAGCATTAATTTGCTAGCGGAAAATAAACCTTACGGCAAACAATTACTGTAATGGCTTGTTCAATGTGGTAGATATTTACCACAAATAAATCGAGATCAGTATCTTTATTGCTTAAGAAACTAATGATGATGAATAAAAAAAAGGATGAACGACGAATGAAAAAAGATTCACATTCTTTTTAGGGTGTAAAGAGGATTGCTAATTGGGCGGCAAAAATTGTTTTTTATTAATTACTCTCAAACTATTTCGTTTATTGTAAAAGTGCTACATAATTTTCTCGATTACTAAACGACCCGCATATTTTCCCATTTTTCTTATTAATAAATAGAAATGGAAAAAATACGACTTTTTATCGGAATCTCGTTTTGGGTGTTAGAACCCTGAAAGTTTTTAATTACCTACAGCTTGTTTGGATGAAATTATTTTTTACATAGCCAGTAAAAAGTTATGGATTTGGGTGTGTGTCCTCTTCATTTTTGTTCGGTGTTTTGCTATTTCTAAACCGTATACGTTACAATGAAGGATCAACATAAATTGACTCAAACCGTATTATTACAAAACAAGGACCTAAATTAGTACCGGTTTTAAACCATTGGCTGTCTAAAGTAAATTGACAATGACAAAAGAGAATTCTGTTATTTTGACCAATGTTTCATTGAGATAAGATTATTACTTAAACATTAGTAGAATAGGAAATATGCGTCTGGATCAAACAAAAGTCAAATATATTTAATTACAGTAATTATTGCTTTAGAATAAAGTCTATGTACTTATTTTTTTACATTAGTACGTTTTCGTCTTGAAAATCACTACACAGTATAAAACAAAGTCGCTTTCTACAGAGAAATAGGGATAGCCCTGTATCCTTATGTATGCCTAAATCTTTAAAACTACGCAACGGATTTTGATGCAGTTTGTCATAGATAGGGTTATTCAAAAGGAAGGTTTTTATGTATAATACAAGACCACGCGTGCGAACCCGCTGTCGGAATGCTAGTAATTATTATACATTGCAAAACAATGCGCTTACTTAACAATATTTAAACGCCATGTTAATTGTCAGAGCGGATGCAACGGAAATGTACACGTATAGAGATGTCGTTGTTACAAAAAGTTAACATCGATGTATTATGTCGTAAAGTAAACAACAGATTACAATTTAAATGTTGTTTTAGGTTTTTAATTTTATTTCATCAATTTGGTAAACTATATGATTACTAAAAGTCTATTATACTTTAAAAACGATTAGTTGCTAATCGATTTGGGTAATTGAATAATAATCAATCACTCAAAATCTATATTGATTTAAAATGTCATATCTCTATCTCCAGTTCTGTTCTTTGTCGTCACGACAAGCGCGTCAAAAATTTCGGCGTTTAGATTGCTCGTAGTTGTTACTATTTTCATTAATTATTATTGTTACTAAATATTAGTTTTTCAGGGCCGGGTATTTTTTTTTAAAGTTATATAAATTATTATATGAAAATATTTTCAAAAAATGTACATATTCCCTATTTTGGCCTACGTCGTTTATTAATAATAAGACGGAGAGCTTTTATTGCCGCCAACATGCTACGGAATGTTTCGTAGTTTATTTCGTAGCTGTCAGCTACGACGTTGTAGGCAGCAAAACTACAACAATAATGAATATATATAGTTTAGTTCATATACCATTGTTTTATTTTTTACACAGTAGCATAGTATTCGTTTCATCAATGTATACTTATATATATTTTCTGAATTATATTAAGTTTGACGAAATTAAAAGATGTGCTTTTATGGCTATACTTATGGCGAGAGTATAGTTGCTTCTCTGCTCTCTCGACTCAACTATATTTACATAATGACACCTCTAAAAATGTGACTTTCTTGTTGCTTCGGTAAAAAGGTGTTTTACAGTACCTAACCGGGATGTGGTTTTAATTATTAATCTTACCGTTTGTTTGTTTCCTGTTTCGCAGGCAACTCTTTAATTTGTTTAAGTTTGCCTCGGTGTTTGCTACCACACACGTGCTGAAGTTTACCACTGGGAACAACACTCTAATTAACTCGGAACAATCAATACCCGATGTAGTATATACATAACTAGTGGAGCGACTCGGCTTTGTCTGGCCAACCATTAGGTCAATTCTGCTAATGTTAGTGCAAATTAGTGCAACGTCTTTCTCACACATCAATGGAATGGAACGAATTCACTCAGGTGTAAGAATCACTTCAAAAAGAAGCATCAGTTCAACCTTGAATTTGTAATAACGTTTCGTGTTATAAGTGAAGTGAGTTTTGAAATGATATAGGAATAGAATATCTGAGACACGTATATTAAATCAATTTCGTATTGTATTTTTATATAAATAATGGAATCGTGAAAAAGACATGAGTTAATTCGAATTCGGGTCTGGATTTTTCCAGAATCGCAGGGCAGTGCCGGATTAGCCACGTAGCAATAGTAACAAATGTTACGGGCCCCGCTCCTTTGGGGGCCACGCGAAATCGGAAGCCTCGCTTTAGTGCGCCTGAACTCATGTTTTTAAGTAAACATAGACTGACAAATGAAACTCAAGTCAGAGATAAGTTGTGTTGTGTTATTCGGAAAGCAAAGGAGGACTTTTTGTTTCGTTTGCGGAGCTGATGATACCTAATATTCATCATCGTCATCACGAAAGATATCTTTTGTGATTGGAAAAAAGTTGTGTGGCTAATTCGTTACCCATAACGTAACATTATTTTGTAGTTAAACCTCAAAAACATAATGGTGCGTGTTCATACTCACATTATAAGTCAAATTGAGTCTGTACAGTTGAATTGACTATTACTTTTACAATAAAATGTTACAAATCAAGAAAAGTGTGTTTGTAAAAATTTTGTTTTATTTCAAATATATGCTTTAAGTAGCTCGGTGGCGTAGAGGATAAGCGCCGCGGCCCGCGATCGTTGTGTTTAAGCAACTTTCGCAAGGATCGGTCACGGGATGGGTGACCAAAAAAAATATTATCTCGAGTTACTTCGTGCTTCGGAAGGCACGTTAAGCCGTTGGTCACGGCTGCATTTGCAGTCGTTAATACTCAATAAGATCCAATCCGCATTGGGCCAGCGTGGAGGGACATGGTCGTCCTCCTTAACCATCCAAAAGGAAAGCCTGAGCCCCTGCAGTGGGGACGTAAATAGGGCTGATGATTATGATAAGAGGGCCCCTCAAAAAATTTGCTACAGACCCAGGCTCTGGCTTAATCCGGCACTGATGGTGACAGATATATAATAATATTGGACTTCAGGGTGGATAGTACAATGGCACAATGCAAGTAGTTGAGATTCTATAATTACGTAAACATTATCAGAATTGACCTATTGAGCGATCGCCCAACTCGAGCCAAAGATATACAAATGTTTTTTTTATTATAACAATGAATCTATTGATATTCCTTTATAATGAGGAAGTATTAAAAAAACGAAAGCACTAAAAAGCACCTCCACTAGATGGCGACTCTGGCAAAAGTTGATTTGTGCAGGAAACGAATAGACCGCAGTAATTTCCGTTCCTTTTAACTAACATATTAAAAAATTGAAATTTGAAAAGTTCACAACTTAGATATCAATACGAATAGGAAAAAGTACAAATAGAATACGAGTTGTTTATTGACTTTTGAAAACCGGAAGGGTTGTCAAGGAGAAGTTAAAAACGTACCGTAGCGACATCTAGTTTGATTTCGGGAACTAATTATTTTTTTAATACTTCCTCATTAAATGTTTTTTATTATATTTTATCAAATGTTTTGGTTTGTTCTTCTAATCGAAATAGCTTTATTTGTTTAAATTAAACTATAATTAAATTAAGTATTACTTTAATAATTCAGTAAACTAAAACAACTAAAAGCATCGATTAACTAAGCAAGTAATAAAACAGGAACATTATTTAAAAATTATAACGTAATAATTGTTAATTAAACGTTATTATAATTATGTCTAGAGTTATATCAGGAGTATTCTTT